GACATGTCCAAGATGGGCGCCGTGAGCCTCCGCGCCGTGTCCGAGTCGAAGAAGAAGTTGCAGCTGCTGCAGACCATGGAGCGCCGCATGCTCGAGATCCAACGCGCGCGCCAAGCGTTCGAGCGCAAGAAGTGCAACAAGAGCGTGAGCCCCAAGCGAAGCGAGCCGAGGAAGGAGCCCGAGCCGTCGCCGCGCGATGACGAGCCATCCTTGGCCCAGTTTGGGGAAGCGACTAGCGTCTTCTTGACGCAGCTCCCGATGCAGCACAAGCGGCACCACGTGCACAAGAGCCGACATGCGGTGTCAGCGTCGTCTGGCGAGGCAGCGAGTTTGTCGCCACCCAAGCAAACCCACGGCAACCACCATTATCATGGGAAGCGCGTCAAGCAGCCCCACCGCCATGTACCGTACGAGCTGCTCGTCGACGACGCGACTGCTGTCTAAGTCAATGAACAATCGCAATGGGGTAAGGTGCTAATTACTATACGGGGAGAGGCTGGGAATCTACACGTGGCGTGTCTACCTACTGGAACGGGACCGAGGCCGTGACAGGGTTGTGCGGTGCGTACGTGCCGCGCGGGTTGTACAACGGGCCGCTGCGGCTCTTGTAGCTGTTGTGATATGGTTGCTTGCCATACTGGGAGGGTTGCGGATGGTGCGTGTGCTTCTTGTGTTGGCGCGGCGCGGGCGGCGAGAGCGGCGACGGCGGCGAGACCATCCAGCGGCTCCAGAGCTCAGCTTCTTCCGTCTTGCCCTGCGCCTTGAGCTCGTTGTATTCACGGCTCAGCTCCTCTTCCATTTGGACGCGCTCGATCTCAGCGAGGAGTTCGTCAACCTCGGCGTCGTCGCAAAAGTCTGCGCCATCGTCGTCGGCCCAGCCCCCGCCGTTAGCACTGTCCCACTCGCTTGTGTACTGCGGGTCGGCGGTCATCGGCGGAGGCGGCGGCGGCGCGGGCGGCGCCGACGACCACGTCGGTACAAAGGAGGTTGCGTTCGGGTTGAGCTTCATGCTGCGGCTTGCCTCGAAGAAGGATTGACGCTCGTCGTGGCGGCCGAATATCCGGATACCAAGCGTCGTTTTTCCAAGAACAAGCCGAATATATCCGGATAAACGAGTCCGTTCTATTCGACGAAGGCTGATTATTTCCCGCACGTTTTATGTTCACTTGCACTTTGTATGCATTAATCAAAGAAAGCCAGCGGAATAAGATGCGCGTGCCACGTCATTGGTCCGCGACACGCAAGCTACTCGCTGAAATCGCCTCCACATCGACTAGTAGAACGATGGTTTTGACTAACTAGACGAGCAGTTGCCGTCGAGAACGATCTTTGATACATTCCACGCGTGCTCTACATGTGTTGCATGCAGCCGCTTCGAGGTCTTCTGCAGGGGGCCTTGGCAAAAACGGGTTCTGAGCAGACGAGAACACGCGCTAGCTCTATCTATGTCGCCTGCACCTATCGCTGCTGCTTCACGTGAATAGCACTGGAGGCATGACCTAACTGCTCCTCGGACTTGGCCTGTACAAGCAGGCAGTCGGTGGCGTCGATGGCGGACGGCAAAGCACGGGCGTTGCCGCTGACCAAGATGGCGAGAACGTTCGGGGACCGGTACCAGATCGGTAGAAACGCAGCGTTGTGATTGGTTTGCCAGTATCTATCCAGCGGCGTCTGATTGGTGGAATGTAAGCTTCGACGCATTGGATTGGTGGAACCGGCGGGTGCGATATGGTTGAAGTTGGGATGAGAGCTATTTGCAGCTTCCAGCTCATTCTACAAACTGCCCCGCAAGAAGATACGAAGCATGGCCAAGAAGACGCAGCCGACGCCCGCGCCCCGTAGCCCGACCAAGAAGGGCGCGCCGGCGCCCATGCCCAAGACCAAGACGACGTCGCTCAACGTCGATGCGCCGCCCTATGTGCCTGCGCTCGGCTGGAAGACGCCGCTGACTGACGACCTCATCTGGACGGCCGGCCTGCCGTATACGCCGGGCAGCGAGAAGCAGTCGGCCGACGGCTTTGTCATCCTCGACCAAGTCGTCGACTACCGCGAAGTGCCGGACGAAGAGCTCTTTGACCCGGCGTACTACCCGTTCACGACACGGACCTGCGTGAACTCGAGGCGTGTGACCAGATGAACGAGCTCCTCGCCGAGCTCGAGATCCTCGACATGCAGGAAGAGCTCCACCGCAAGCTCTTTGACAAGTGTGTCTCGCTCCAGGAGAACCGCCGCAGCGTCGAGCCGATGGTGCAAAACATTTTGAAGCGCACGACCAAGACGGACAATGCCTTGTACCAGACGCAAAAGGCCAACAAGTCGATGCACTACAAGCTGACGCATCATGGCAAGAGCCCGCGCTTTAGCCGCCAGATTTGCCAGCCGCGCGCGTCGTATTAGACCCGCATCTCAACGCTGCGAGGAGTCAGCCACCCGACAAGACCAAAATATTTAAAAATTCCCAGCCACACAAGCAAGCAAAAGCCCTGTGTATTTTGTAGCAGTAATCGCCACAACCAACTTTAGGTGGTAAGCAGCAATCAACCTCGCCCATACATTTCATTCTGCAAGTCGGTCATCTCTGTGGAGAAATATCGAGTTGCACTCTACGCTGCCACGTCATTTCGCTCGCCGGCGGGATCGCGTCGCCACAGAACGTGTTGTTCGTGGTGACCCTTGACGAGCCGCCATCTTGGCTCCATGCCCAGAGCCATGTGCCCCATCCACGTTGGGCGGATAAGACAAACAACGAGTCAGCTGACAACGGCGTGCGTGTTAATTGCATAATACAACCGATCTACTACTCCGTAGTACGTGGCAGCGACTAAATAGGTGGTGATAGCGCTCACCGCGCGTGGATCTGGCGACCGCGCACATAAACGCTGGTGATGTTGCGGTCGTCGCCGACGAAAAGAAATTTCTGGAAACGATGCAGCGCGTCGTCGGTCGCATACTCGTCGACGGGGCTGTCGGCCGCATTGAGATCCACGACCAGCATGTCGAGGTCCTTGCCAGGCACAAAGTTGCCAACCTTGTCTTGGAGGTTGAGGACCTCGGCGCCACCGATCGTCGCGAGGTGGAAGGCTTCGGCGAACGTGAGCGGGTCTTCTTGGATCGCTTCTTCTTCTTCGTTGTCGCTGCTATGGCCCATGGACACGAGCTTGGAGGCGATGACGGCATTCCGGACCGCATCCAGCATGGACGTCGTGTAGCCGGCCGAGACGTCCGTGCCGAGGCCGACCTTGAGGCCGTCGCGAAGGCACCGACGCACGTTGAGAACGCCGCTCGTGAGCGAAAAGTTCGAGTTGGGGCAGTGGACAATGCCGGTGCCCGTCTCCTTGAGGAGCTTCCGCTCGCCGCCGCTGCACCAAATGCAGTGCGCCATGTAGCTCCGGTCGTGGAGAAGCCCGTGGCGGTGGTACACATCGGCGTAGCTGTCGCAGTCGGGATGGAGGTCCTTGACCCACGCGATTTCGTTGCCGTTCTCGGAGAGGTGCGACTGCACCGGCAACGGCGGCGTCTGCTCCTTGGAGAGCGCGGCGAGACCGTGCATGAGGTCCGAGGTCGTGCTATCAAACGCAAATGAATGTCGTGTGTGTGTGGAGAGTCGAGAGCCATGCAACGCACCTCGGCACAAAACGCGGCGTAATCACTGGCGTCACGAGGTCATCTTTCTTGGCAAGGACGTGCTCGATGAACGCCTTCGTGTCGGCGAGCGACTGCGACGTTGTTTCAGCGAGCGACGGCGGCGCGTGGCGGTCCATGTTGACCTTGCCAATGTACCCGCGCTGGCCAATGCGCGCGACAATGTCGGCGAGGGCCTTGGACGCTTCGAGGTGGACGGTCGCAAAGTACGAACACGTCGTCGTGCCATTGCGCACATGGCGCGTCACGGCCTTGGTGTACATGCTCGTCGCATACCTAAGACGACGCATCAGCATCCTACCCACGAGACGGACGACGTACGCGAGGTCGGCAAACTTGGCTTCGTGCGGGAACGTGTACGTGTTGAGCCAGTCGAGGAGCGGAAGGTGCATGCCGACGCCAAGGAACGAGTACTGCGGCGCGTGCGCATGACCGTCGACAAAGCCGGGGACGAGCAGCTTCTTGCCATGGTCGACGAGCGTGTCAAAGGCAATCGACTCGATCGGCGTCTTGGCCAAGTCGTGCACAAACAGGATCTTGCCTTGGGCGTTCGTGCCAATGAGGCCGGCGTCGAGGACTTCGAGGACGCCAAAGCGCACCGAGTGCACGACGACACCCTTGTACGCAGTGATGAGCGACGACGACATGTTGGTGGCGGAGAGAAGATTGCGGAATGGGGTCGCTACGGGCGACTGCGACCGGTCGCAGCTGGCACGGAAGATCGCACATCGCATCCTTTTTGCACGTCACGCGACCGATTCAAATTTCATTTGTAATACGGTTGCGTGACACGCGTCAACTTCAACTTGCGCTGGGATTTATCCGAGTTGCTTCAAGCTTTAGGTGGTGCCGTGGGTGATGCAAGTTGCGGGACGCTTCCAGCAGCCAGCTCTTCCAGCGCAACGAGGCTTCGGGCCTAGCTAGGTGCCCGCGCAGTGAAGCAAATACGTAGTACTAGTGACTAGCTGGGATGCGTGCCGTCAGGGCCGCTGAAGAGCGGTGCTTGCGGGATACTGTAGTACATGAGATGAGCGGTGAGCTTGTTTTTCTATCGTCCTGGCGTTCTTCCGCCAGCCGAGTGCAGACGTCGCGCGGCGGATAGAGACGGGGTCTGCATGAGGGCCGAGGTTCCATTGCAACAGATGTGGCGAGCGGATGCGCATCACTTTGGTTTAGCGTCCATGCACCGACACTGGCGCGGGTTCTTGCTAGACGACAACGACGATGACGAAATCGTGCACGAGGTGCTCTACCTACCGAACAAGCGACGTCACTGCGGCGGAGTCGCCGGCCGCAAGATGGTAAAGCGTGGCATTGAGTCAGGCCACAGCAACATCATGCGCGACTACCTCAGCCCCGATCCAACCTACAGCGAGACCCTCTTCAGACGCCGGTACTGTCCGAACCATAGCATTATGCAATCTCTTACCTCGTGTAGATTCCGCATGTCCAGTGCAAAGTTTCGCAGAATCGTCGGCGGCCTCATGAGCGCCAGTTCTTTTGCGCAGCGACGCGACAGAGCGGGTCGTCTCAGGGCGTCACTGGAACAGAAGATCACGTTCGCATACCGGTACTTGCGTATGGGACGCGCACGACGTGTACGCTAGTAGCAACATCATTGCGTAAGCACACATTGCTGGGTTGGTCTGGATTCGGTGGTTCCAACGATTCAAATTGACCAAAAAACTGCGTGAGCGGGCCAAACTGACCAGTGCGGGTGTTGCGTTCGTGGAGTGCAACACCCGCATTGGCTACACGGGTTTTGCGCTCGTTCATTAGTAGAAATTCGAGCTTATACTCGTAGGCACGTTTATAAGGTACCACCGAAGTATACAAATACAAGCATGAAAACTGGAGAGGAATGCCATGTTGCACAATTGCCGCGCGCACCGCACTGCTTGCACGAGATCGCCACGTCATATCGAACTTCCTCCTTCTTCTCTCCTCTTTCTTCAATATATCAGGCACACGTTTGTTATAGACCCACCATAACGATAGTCGCCACTTTCTGGGATTTCACCCACCACCTAATTGGTAGTCCCCGAATGAATTTCACCAGTGCCGGCAATGTCGCACTGGTTTTCGCACTCGCATCGCTCGATGATGGCATAGAATATCGACTGAGCTCTCAAAAATGCTATGCCATGAGGGTTTTGAACCATGTCGCGGCCCCTGCGCCTTTCAAGCCCAGTTCCAAAGGTAAGCAAAGAGCCAAGGTGCGTCGACAATTCTATTCAGAACGAATGCGATAACAAGACAAGCGGCCCAGAGAGTGAGCTTAAAGTCGCATCAAGATGAATCGATGGTAAACAAAGTTTACAGGAAAGACTTATGCGAGACGAGCGACAACGTTTCCGCAGACACGGAGACGATCCAACAACGACCAGCGGCAAGTCTAGTTGGTTTCGGTGCGGAGGTTCGACGTGGCGAGATACGGCGCGATAAAGTCCTTGCCGGACGAGAGGCGCGCGTAGACACCAGGCTTGTTGGCCTGCGCACAGACCCCGCCCCAACTGACGACGCCAATCTGGACCTCCTTGCCGTCCTTGACGGCCGTGAGCGGACCACCCGAGTCGCCCTGGCACGCGTCCTCGCCCGCGACACCGCCCGCGCAAATCATGGACTCGTGAATGCCGTCGAGGGTCTTGGCGCACTCGTCGTTGGCCCACACCTTAACTTCGACCTCAAGCAGTTCATAAGACTGCGAGCCGTCGGAGCGGGTGTGCCCCCAGCCGCGGACCTTGGCGGCGACGCCCGGCGCGTTGGAATCGTCGTCGTCAAAGCTAAGCGTCACGGGCGTCTCCGTGCTCTCGTGCTCGAGCTCGAGGATGCCAAAGTCGTAGTGCTCTTCGCGTCTAGTCCACTGCGGGTGCGCGATGGCCTTGACGACGCGGATGCGCTCGCCGTC